ATTGTGGTGGTGTATAGAGCCAAAGATGTTAGAATTGTGTCGATGTCCCAATATTTCTGGACCTGACTGTAGATCTTTTCTCTGAAGTCTGTAAGCTTAGTCCAGAAAAAGGGAATCTGTGTCCTTATAATTTCAGTCAGGGCAATCCAGAATGTGGTGCCTGGAAGCAAGATTCACTTAAGGACCAGAGCCTCTTTTTTTATTTTTTATTTTTTTATTTTTATTATTTTTTTGCTTTTCTTCCTCTTTAATTTTATTTTATAAACAACTGGATTTCTCCTTTGCTTCTATTTACTTTTGTGAACAGCTTTCCCCTTTGCATATATTGCTTCCCACCCACCCCTTTTTTTGTGCTAATCTCCATTCTTGTTCTCCTTACCTCTCCTACATCCTCTTCTCTGTCCCAGAACAGCTGATTGAGCGTGGATATGGGAAGTGTGTGTTGGTTCCTCCCTCTATCCTTTACTGCTTCCCTGTTCATATCTACAAACTGTATGGTAGTTTTTCTAATTTTCATTGGAGAGACCTGGAAAAATGAGAGAAGAGCTGGATTCTGTAGGGAGGCACTGCTCTGAAGCAGATACTGTCACATTACTGATCCCTGGTGGTTGGATCATCTCACTGCAAGAGACACAGGGCACTTAAGAAATGTCATTTTTGGTATGTTCAACTTGGGAGAATTATAAAATAAATCTGTTCTATCAGAACCCATTTCTCTTCTGTCCTGGGCAGGAGAGTAGTGGAATTGGCAAATGGTAGATCACTGTGCTCAGTGGAAGGGTGCCTGATTCCTGTTTTAACAATTGTTAACAATACAAGAAGTCTGTTCATTTTCTCAGCAGATGCAGTCTGTCATGTTTATCTGACCAAAATGTCTTAAGGGTTCTGAGAATCTGCTCCATCAATTCATGCAAGGTGCCAAAATGAATGCTTAAGCAGGGTGTTTTCCTTTTGTTTCTCACCAGGAAGGTGACATGGAAGCAGAAGCAGTTGAAGCTATTGGTGAAGAATCTGAAACTTTCATTAAAGGCAAAGAACGGAAGACATATCAGAGACGTCGGGAAGGTGGGCAGGAGGAGGATGCTTGCCCGATGCCACCCAACCAAGCAGATGGGACTGAAGTAGTACAGGATGTCAATACTGGTGTTCAGATGGTCATGATGGAGCAGCTTGATCCAACGCTGCTTCAGATGAAGACAGAAGTCATGGAAGGTGCAGTGCAACAAGAAGCTGAAGCCACTGTGGATGACACACAAATAATAACCCTGCAGGTTGTGAACATGGAAGAGCAGCCCATCAACCTGGGTGAACTCCAGCTTGTCCAAGTGCCCGTCCCAGTGTCTGTACCTGTTGCTACCACTTCTGTAGAAGAACTTCAGGGGGCCTATGAAAATGAGGTCTCTAAGGGTGGCCTCCAGGAGGGGGAGCCCATGATCTGTCACACTCTCCCTTTGCCAGAAGGCTTCCAGGTAGTAAAGGTTGGGGCAAATGGTGAGGTGGAGACATTGGAGCAAGGGGAACTTCAGCCTCAGGAGGATCCTAACTGGCAGAAAGACCCAGACTATCAACCCCCCACCAAAAAGACAAAGAAAACCAAAAAAAGCAAACTCCGTTACACTGAGGAGGGAAAGGATGTGGATGTGTCTGTATATGATTTTGAAGAGGAGCAACAGGAGGGCTTGCTTTCAGATGTCAATGCAGAGAAGGTGGTGGGCAACATGAAACCCCCAAAGCCAACAAAAATTAAAAAGAAAGGTACGTTGGGCAGTCAATTTAGGGACTGGGTGGGCGTACACACATCTGCGGCAAAGGGTTTATTTGATTTAAAAACCCAGCCAGGTTCAAAAAGACAAGTCTGTCTTTCTTGATAACGACTAAAGTTTTCCCTTGGTTCGCTCAGATGTACTACACATTTACCTCTTTAATTGGGCATATTGTCTGTTGGAAATGGAAATAGGTGGGAGAATAATGGGCAGCAGGTTCTGCCTCAGAGCAATGAGTGTTTCTTTCTGAATAGGGGTGAAGAAGACATTCCAGTGTGAACTGTGCAGTTATACGTGCCCCCGGCGTTCAAACTTGGATCGTCACATGAAAAGCCACACGGATGAGAGGCCACACAAGTGCCACCTTTGTGGCAGAGCCTTCCGGACAGTCACACTGCTGAGGAATCACCTCAATACTCACACAGGTACTGTGTAAGGGGATGCTATCATGCCACATATAAATGGCTTATTGGGACCCATACCTTAAAACATACTTCACATGTTAGAATACAAACATTACATGTAAAGTAACCTCCTTTTTAAAGAAAACAGTGCAATTGAGAGCTGCATGTTCTTGTAGTCTCAGTCAAATGAAGCCATTGCCTGTTTGAATTTTCTTTTATCTCTGTAATCCATCAGGTACTCGTCCTCACAAGTGTCCTGACTGTGACATGGCCTTTGTGACAAGTGGAGAGTTGGTTCGGCATCGCCGCTATAAACATACCCATGAGAAGCCATTCAAGTGTTCCATGTGTGACTACGCCAGCGTGGAGGTGCATTTCATATCTAGTTTTCTATCACTGCTGTTCTTGTAGCTATGACAGCCTGTTTTCCTATTTAGTGTTTTGTTTGAAGCTTTGAAAGAGTTGGCCTTATAGTTAACGTTTGTTTCTGGATTTTATTGTGTACAGTGTGGGTTAAGGCAGCCTGCTGGTGCAAATGTCAGGCTCTTCTGCCATCTTTCAGTTGTATTGTGGCTGAAAAATATTAATTATAAATTGGAACTTCATTGCTGCCTCTTTCTGTTTAGAAATTGGTTGCCCATCTACCCTTAAGTCTAATTTTAACTTCACTAGGAAACCATTTATGGATTATAATTTTGCCACATCCAGAGTTGGGGTTTCTCGTAACACAAGGTCTTAAAGCACTAGATTTTGTTTGATTAGTCATAAAATCAAGGACGAACTGTCTCAGATTAGTTATAAATTCTTGTTAACTCTTATTATTTTAAATTACTCCTTTTATTCTTGCATTCAAGAGAGCTCATCTTTATTAAGTATCTCACTGAACAACTATTTTAAATGTTTCAGAAATTGTACTGAGCAGTAGAAATGCAGCAGATCTACTTGTCATGTATACTGAATTACACTCTATTACCAAACTGTACCTGTATAAATTCATTTCCCTCACAAAGAAAAGAACAGGTTACCTCTCTGAAATGATCTCTTGGGTGCCGTTAAAAGGAGTTACAGGATCTTCTTACAACTGAACTTTTCAAAATGAAAATTGTCATATAAAAGTTGAGAGATAAGATAGGCAGTTTGAGAAGGGAGAAAGAGTTTCTTTACAAGCCCTTGACTATTTTCGGTTGACTTACTGAGGCTGGTTGTGAGCAAAATTGCTGAGTTCTCAAAATGTGTTTCAACTACCAAAAAAGAAATGTATTTTTCAAAGGCAGCTATCTACAGACGAGCTCATAATTCTAGATGGTGTGGTGGGCTTTGGACTTCAGTAGATTTATTTTTATGCCACTGCTTCTCCATATTGAAAATGTTGTGAGGTAAGCAGCAACCAGTGGCAGATTAAAATGACTCATAAAATTTAAAACTCATAGTAAAAATATTTTTTTAAATGTAAAAGATTTAAACAAGCACATTCACACTGAACTTTCAAGCAGGAGGGCTTGGATAAAGATCTAATAGTTATACTTGGTGCCTCTTGAATTCTTGGATCAGAGGGAAGACATGACGTTTCACGGGATGGGTGTTCCAAAGAGAAAGGCCTGGATTCCCCACAATCTCAAGGCCAGAAGCCAAATGTGAGGATGACTCTTTAAAGAAGCAGGCCTTAAATCTCAAGACTCAGTTTTAGAGTGCATTATACAGTATTAATAATTTGGGCTTTTGAATAGTCTCAGGTAATCTCTTGCCCATTTCCTATCATTGCAGGGCGTAAAGTGCTCCTCCTTCCTCAGATCATCATATTCTAAAAGAATCCTTTTTTCAGATATGGCCCATTATTTGATACCTAGGAACTATTTTTTTAATATTTCAAGAATACCCCTTTGGATCCCAAAGAGTAAGCAAGCACCTTGCTGCTCAAAGGGGGAAAGTTATTGTTTTTTTTTTTAAATGCCGTTGGACTGGCATATAAGCCACTCTCAAGATACTAGAATTTGTTTTTGTGTCAAAAGACCTTTTTGTCTTACAGTTCCAGAAGTGCAGAGGATTAACAAAAAAAAAAAAGAATTCCTCTTAGCTGTTATAGTGATCGGCGCATTGCTAATCTCACCGCAGTATTCTTGGGTTTCAGGTTAGCAAATTGAAACGCCACATTCGTTCTCATACTGGGGAACGTCCATTCCAGTGCAGTTTGTGCAGCTATGCCAGCAGAGACACTTACAAACTGAAGAGGCACATGAGGACCCATTCTGGTATGGATTACACCTTGGTAAAGGTGGCACAGGGCAGCGTGTGCAGGAAGCGCTCTCTCTATAGCTTGTGTATGATTTCTTGATTGTCCTAGGAGGAGCAGCAGTCATTTTAACATTTCAGAGGTTTTGGTTAAAAACTACTAATGATAAATGAGGCTGCTCAGCACTAAAAGAAATGGGGAGGCCTTTTCAACTTGTTTTCATCTTTGTTCCTGGTATTTCAACCCCTTCTAAAGCATGTTGCAACTTCTAAGGAGCACTGAAAATGGAGCACTGAAAATTCCCTTACAGCAGTTATATGGGTGATAGAAAATGTTTGCAATTTAATTAGATTTTGACAGCGTTCCCACAACATGTTAAGACAGAATTGGTTTTCCTTCCTTCCTTCTTTCCTTTCATCCATCCATCCATCCATTCTTATTTGTTACAATAGCTAATTGTTTTGGGTAGTAAAGCACGTGTTTTTGGCTTACTGATTGCAATTATGGCATATTTATTTATATATATATATGTATATATATATATATTTCAGATTTGTCGCTGCCCCTCTCACTGTGGAGTGACTCTGGGTGGTTTACAGTAAAAATAGAATAAACATTAATTAAAATAGATAAAAATTAATTAAAATATGCTAAAAACAAACTTCCTTTATAATACTTCCAAGAGGCAGATGTTAATAGCATGATCTATGAAATGTATAGATTTTGTTTGTTTATGGATTCCTATTTTATTCCTAATTTGTGCCCTGCCCAGCTCTCTAACCCAGCCTTTCTCAACTGGGATTCTGCAAGAGATTGTGATTGGGGAAAAATCATTTTTTTAACTTCACATGCTGTGCAGTGCTATCGCTCACAGTGGTGAGAATTTTTACATGCTGTGATTCAGATTACTGATCATGGTAATGTACCATGGGATGTAGATATAATAATTTTTATGCAGGGGCTCCCAGAGATCTGAAAAATATTTCAAGGGTTCCTCCAGGGTAAAAAGGTTGAGAAAGGCTATAACCAACTGAAATAAATGCAAGAGTATCTAAAAAGGAGGGGAAACAAGAATTGGTCAGGAAACTGCATACAAACGGTACACATATTGTTTGTCAGAAAAAGACACTGTTTTGATTTTGTCTTATATAAACGAACTGGATTTAAACCATATCTCCAAGCTCACATTCTCCATCCCATAATCCACAACGCCATTGCCACAACTGGGCCTGTTGAGCTAACAGTTTCTTTCCCTGGTTCCAAAAGGTGAGAAGCCCTACGAGTGTTACATTTGCCATGCTCGCTTCACCCAGAGTGGGACAATGAAGATGCACATCCTGCAGAAGCACACGGAAAACGTGGCTAAGTTCCACTGCCCCCACTGTGACACAGTGATTGCACGAAAGAGCGACTTAGGTGAGTGTTGCGTGCATTGAGGCTCCTATGAAAAAGGACGAAGTATGTTTCTCAGAGAGCTCTGAGTGAAATTAGTCGGAACAGGTGGCATTCTTCCAATGACCCAGAGAAGAACCCGAAGGGACAGCAGAGACCTGCTGCTAAGCTCAGTAGAGCCAGAGACTCAACAACCGTGTGAGCTGTTGGGAGGTAAAGTGGGATATAAATGCAATTCTTTGTTTTCCTTTCACTTAGTCATGAAAGATGCAGATTTGCCCATGTAAGCGAAAGCTTAAAATATAAGAAGTCAGATGTGCTGCTATCTGTATCACTTTTTAGTTCCATGTTGGCTTGTTAATTTACCTTGCGCTTTGTGTTAAGTGTACGGGTCTTTGTGGGCAGCAACGCTTTCCCTTTTTAATCCCTTTTCTGTCCTGCTGAAGGCTAGGGCAAAAGCGCATGCCCATGGTGTCTTGAGATCCTGGCATTTTAAAATGTTTGTCTTAGCATCATCAAGCAGGAACTTGGTGGCTCAGCTACAGAAGAAGTTTGTACTCCTCAGTGTACTCCCTGTGTTATGATTTAAAGATGAAGGATTCCACATGACGATCTCTTTCCAGGTGTCCATTTGCGGAAGCAGCATTCCTACATCGAGCAGGGCAAAAAGTGTCGTTACTGTGACGCCGTGTTCCATGAGCGATATGCACTCATCCAGCACCAGAAGTCTCACAAAAATGAGAAGCGCTTCAAATGTGACCAGTGCGACTATGCGTGCCGACAGGTAAGGAAGTACCCCCAAGAGAACTGGGATTTTCTAGATCTGTTAAATTACAAGTCTCGGGCTATCCATGGGTAATTATGCCCCTTTTCCCACTGATCACATGCCCTCTGATTCCTTCCAGGAACGGCACATGATCATGCACAAGCGAACCCACACTGGAGAAAAGCCTTATGCCTGTAGCCATTGCGACAAAACCTTCCGCCAGAAGCAGCTGCTTGATATGCACTTCAAGCGCTACCATGATCCAAACTTTGTTCCAGCTGCCTTTGTCTGCTCTAAGTGTGGCAAAACGTTCACACGCCGTGTAAGTGTTCAGAGCACGTGGGAGGTTAAGGGGAAACGAGTGTTGCAAGGAGCCCTGAGTGAGGTACCAAGAAATAAGAGAAGGAATTGGACGATGCCTTACCCCAGCGGGTTACCAAGACGCTCCGTGTTATGTTTCTGGCAAACTCAACCAGAGCTGCAAACCCTGCTGTGGATATTATCTGGCCTGCATTTGCCACTCTTAAAACTGGGAACTGTTAGAGGGCTGCAAAACTTTAATGCAAGGATAGGAAAAAAAATGTGGTCTGGGCTGTTACACCTGCCAACTTCTTTCTTATGGATCTCAGGGCCCAAAACTGGGAATTTTTTTCCCCATTTTTGGGAGTCAATGTTGAAGAGCAAAATGAGTGCCTTAAGCCTTACATATGCTTGGGACATCCATTTTTTCCATTAAAGTTTCCGAAATCCTCTCCCAAGTGGGCTCACCCATTTTTACAGTGTGGCCTTGACATGCCACTCAGCATGCCAGAAGCGAGCCAGCAGAAGTTGCACAGTCCTGCTTTAATACATGCTGCTGCCTTCTGTTTTCTCTGTTGGGCCTTTTTTGTCTCTGGCCTCAGAAGCTATGTGACCCGGGTCTTCATTCGCACATAATGTGTTATATGTTCTTGCAAACTCAAGGAGTCTGCTCAGAGGTCAGGTTATATCAAACTTGATTCTTTGTTGCTGGCACTTCCAAGTGCAAGTAACCAAGCTGGCAATTAATGCAGCTGCTTTAGAAACTGGGAGGCTGTGAGTTCTAGTCCTGCCTTAGGCATGGAAGCCAGCTGAGTGACCTTGGGTCAGTCGCTGTCTCTCAGTCCTAGGAAGAAAGTAATGACAAACCACTTCTGAAAGTCCTGCCAGGAAAACTGCAGGGACTTGTCCAGGCAGTTGCCAGGAGTCAAGACTGACCTGAAGGCAATTTCCTTTTTTAATTAATTTCCTGATACACTGGGAGAAGAGAGGTTATTTAGGTGCCTCTCATTGGATGCAGCCAACATCTAATACTTGCCTGCCTTTCTTTAACCAGAACACAATGGCCAGACATGCAGATAACTGTTTAGGCCCTGATGGGGTTGAAGGAGAGAATGGAGGGGAACCCAAGAAGGGGAAACGTGGCCGGAAGAGAAAGATGCGCTCCAAAAAAGAGGACTCTTCTGACAGTGGTAAGAAATAGAGAACATTTATTTGGGATGTCCTAAACTTCTGATGGATTCACATACACTGTCAGCTGTTGCACGTAGTGCAAAACGGTAACTTTCCAGTAGCCACTTCAGCTGTTCCAGTTTCTGAGCAATAGTGAAAAACATTGATAGAATCTTTTGGTACAAGACTGAGGGCGGGAGACATTCCTTCTTTTAAGAAAGCCACTGGTGTAGCTGAAGTTCTTCAGGGAAAATATTTATTTTCAGTATTATTTTCTACCTTTCCATTCCATTGAAAAGGTCTCATGATAATGGATGTCATTCATTTAAAAACATTTACAAAGTAAAACTAAACACAATCATGGTGTGTGCACACTTGAACACAAACATATTTACATATGCACACAGTCATCACTTTTTCAATTGAGATGAAGGTTTGCAAACAGCAAACTAATTTTCACCACAGTGAGGTTCCTAGCAGTGGCATTTTGGCTTCATCTTGTTGCACACCCACCTTTTGAACGCTACGCTTATTTCTGGTAGAAACTTTAACATGACAGCCTTGCCGAAGGAGAACATTTTTATGCAATTCACATTTTGCTTTCTATATTGCTCATGGCCTTGATTTTGTTTGTTTTGCTCATATTAAAGAGGAAAACGCTGAACCAGAGTTGGATGAGAATGAGGAGGAGGAAGAAACAGCAGTTGAAGTTGAGGCTGAACCCGAAGTGGAGCCTGTGGTCCCAGCCCCTCCGCCTGCTAAGAAGCGAAGAGGACGTCCGCCGGGCAAAGCCAATCAAGCCAAACAGCCCCAACGTAAGTTACCATTTTTCTACAAATGGCTGCCAGACCCAGTCTTACGAGTAAAGGTGAAAATTAGGAGGTGAGATGAGGAACTTGAAGGGTCTTCAGGCATACTGGTGATGCCTGGTAACTACTCTTAGACCAGATCGTGCAAGCGACATCAGTGTGAGGCCAACTCATGCTGAGTTTGGGGCCTGCGTAATCCCCAGCTCTGGCAGAAGTTCCAAGAAGGTTTTGCTGTAGACAGACATCAAGTTATCATGAGTGGTAACAGGCCAACTGCAAGCCCTAATTTACACCCGCTGGCTTGTGGTTCAGTTTTACTTACTGTACTTAACATTAACCATGGTTTAGAGTTCAGATATAGCACCATCATAAGCTGTGATTAATCTAAAACAGCAGAAGCATTTAATCTCATGAGCAGTGCAGTAGGACAGGAGGGCTGGATTCTGGTCACCAGCGTAACACTGAACTGCGGTGTCATATCATATGTGAACCAGGCCGTGGATTCAAAACAGACTTTTGGCTCATTGAAAAGAAGGCAGTTTCCTTTAGTAGTTGTGAAATTGCCTAATAAGGGGCAAACCGAGTCAGTGATTCTCCTTGTCTCCAGGCAGGGTCTGATTTCTCCTCTTTTTTTGTCCGTTAGCTACAGCAATCATTCAGGTGAAAGACCAGAGCACTGGTGCAATTGAAAACATTATTGTGGAAGTCAAGAAGAAGCCCGAAGCAGAGACTGTAGGGGCCGCTACAGGAACTCAGCCAGCAGCAGTGGAAGCACCCAATGGAGACCTCACCCCAGAGATGATTCTTAGCATGATGGACCGGTGATGGAGGAAGGGTTATGCTCTAACTGAACTGGCCTGGGCTCTTTTGAAGTGGCTCAATCCCTTTTATTTTATTTTATTTTATTTTCCTTTTTACCTTACTTTTGGCTTTGGGAAATGCATCATTTTTAGACCATTTTACCAAACAACCTGGGAAACAAAACTTCAAATGATGTTAGGATGTGATTTGCCTAGAACATTCTCTCTTCTCTTACTCTGTCTCTCTCTCTGTCTCTGTCTCTGTATCTCTCTTTCTCTCTCTCTCTCTCTCTCTCTTTCTCTCTCTCTCTCTCTCTCGCTGTTTAATGTTAGCCTAACCGGAT